TTGAAAAATATTTTTGTTTGACATTAGTTCTCATGTTCGAACAAGCACCTGGAACCACAGAAAAAGGGAAGATCTTTGAATATTTTATTTCCTTACTTGAGTTTATTTTATATTCCATATATAAGATTATGTGGATGTTATTATGGTATTTTATTTTATAGGAAATTGATAAGTCAAAAAATGTGCATGTTTTATATATTTAATGGTGTATTTTTATACGCTTATTTTATTCGCAAGTTATATTTTTTTGACTTATTTATTATTTGGATGAATTCATATACTTTGATACTTTATTATCTATTTTCAGTCATTTGAAGAATATTCGGGAATGTCAATGGAGAGGACTGTAATGTTGGATAATCGGCCCGAGTGAGAAGGATTTGGGCCCAAAATAAAGTACAATATTTGGGTCCAAAGAAATCAAACACAGGCACAATATTATTACTTTTGGAAGAGAGACTTTGGGCTGGGAATTAATGAAAGCTTGTGATTGGTTAAAAACTCCTAATTGAGAATAGGATTTTTGAGGGAGGATTAATTTGTTTTGGCTGGGAACAAGTGTTTAGTATAAAGATGATGGGCAAAGGATAACCGAGTTACCCGACTCGGGTCGATCTCGGAGGAAGGCTATTCGGAGCTTTGTCTACTAGATGATCGTCCAAATCACAAAACTCGAAAATAAAATCCTAAACATTCTAAACAATTGATTGAGATTGATTAATGCTAATTACGATGATGGAAGGCGATTAAACGAACAATAAGCAAGTGAACGTACTACAAACTCTAGCAACTAACCGGTGCACAAAGCCAAGGGCAACAAAAAGCCAAAACAAGAGAAACGAACTCCATTTAACATGCTTGATAGTTAAAATCGAAATCCTACCACGAAATAACCGAGCTAAATGTAAGGTCACGATTTTTCAAGAAGCAATCAATCAATCAATCAACTCCAAGCATCATAAACGAGCTCATAAAAGCAAGAGAAATAAACATAGCTAAAGTAACTACT